TTGTTGATGGTTGTTTGCTTGGGCAGCAGCTAACGAAATTTCCAGTAGCTGCCACAGCAGCACCAGCGGCGGCAGTTGCATGTGGCACATCACATGTATGAGCCTTTTACTTATTATTGCTGTTGTTGTTGTTGTTGCCTTCTCAATGTGTGCGTTTGCGTGGGTTAAAAATAAAATGCCAGCCAAGTCAAAGCAAAACAAATTATAAAAGGATGCACTATAGTGCAGTGCCTGTCAGTCAGCCATACAGTCATTCCCTCAGTCCATCAGGTCCGGGGCCGGTTTGTTTGCGTTGGTGGAAGCGAGATGCATATCATTAATGCCAGCAATGCATTTCAAAGTCAACGGCAGTCGTTTCGAGTCTACCCCGGCATTGTGCCTTTATGCAGTTCATTAAAATTATATATTTAAAACCGACAGCGAACCGACAAATAACTCCCGACACTGCCCCGTACTTTATATGCTATACAGCACAGCATTTCTTCTCGTTATATGGCTGGGATGCTGGGCCGTTGTTTATCATTTCATTATGGTATATACAATTCACTTTATTATGTGCATTAAACAGAAAAGTTCACTCTTCGTCGGCTTCTGCATATAAAAGACCATAAAAAGCATATACAACAGCTGCATTTGCCCCTTGCCACATGTGGCAAAATTCGCCTTTGTGCTGCTTAGGGTATTCTCTTTCTTTAGGCGAATAAACTTTGTATTCTGCATGGAGTACATAAAGCAATAGCAAGTAAAGACATCTCATTATTTTCTTTTAATTTATTTGATGAACAATTCTGTATATAATTGTTTTGCAGTTTTTGATTTAAACAAAAAGACTAACGTTTAAATTAATTAAAAAAGCGTTCATTACTTCTGTTCCCTAGACACACTCTGTCAGGTCTGGCTGTACTGATTGACTTTATAGATGTTTAAAGAATCTGATCTAAAATATATTTCACACGTATTGCATATAAGAATTTCTTTTTAGTTATGCTATGTGAAGACTTCAGCACTGCTTTGCATTTTTATGGTGAGGTGCTTACCTTTGTTGAAATTTAATGTCTATTGCCTGATGTCCTGCCATACTTTTCGTTTATCAACTGCACTGCAAAATGAACTAAAGTTCAGACATAAGCTGCAAACATATCTATCGCATTATAGCATTTACAACCCACCCACTGCAACAAAGGTATTGCAGAGTCGCAGAAGCCAAGGCCATAAATAAAGAGATTACGCTGCCCACTTTCGTGGCACCATAACAACGCCCAAGTCTCGGCTGTCGTCGATGCAGATGTCGTTGTTGCAGCCTTGGCCGTTGGCTGCAGTTGTCCGTTAATCCTTAATGATATACCACATCAGAAGTGGCTGAGTTGCCGCAACGGTCCAACAAAAACAACAACAATATTAATGACGTTGACATGTTTAATAATTTGTTGACTAGCCAAAGATAACTTTAACCAACCATAAAGTCAAGTGCAGCTGCTGCACAGTGGGATATTTACTCAATCCATAAATCCAATAATATAGTCGGTATACCATTAATACTGATCAGTAAAGTATTGTAAATAAGTATTCTTAATACTACACCAATAGATTTAACGACGTGTTTAACTTTTTTCAATCCTATTTATTATTTATTAACTAAATACATACTTATTCTAAAAAGTATACAAAAATAATTATTTTTTAAAGTCCTATTTCCTTGCCTTCAAAGGGTTGGAGTTGTCTCTTATGTATTAATTATAGAAGTAGTATATTGAAAAATTCCGGCAATGTTGATGTTTTCGTTCTCATTAAAAATTTAGAGCCACACGTTTCTGTTTTCGAATCTAATCATATGACGGCCAAGCAATGTCTCAATGCCGACAAAAGATGGGATGCTTCAGTTACAAACGTTGGAGCTCCACCAAATAGTTCTTTTTCAAAACCTAACATTCAATTGTTTGAACAAACTTACTGTATTTTCATGTATTTGAGAAATGATTGCCATTTCAAATTAGTTCGCATAGAGCCAATGATTTTCACACTGTGCAAGTGGAACCATTTGCGAAATAGGTTGAAGTACCGCTTAGTCTTAGACGAGCAACCAACTTTGGTAGCTCCTGCCGCATACCAGGCCACAAGAGTGCCGCCAACTATGTCAACGTCAACGTTACTGCAACAACTGCTGTGGCAAATCTCAACTGTGCCCGCCCGGGTTGCAAGTTGCATGCTGCATGCTGCAAGCTACCGGGTTGCCATATGCGGCACAGCCGGCTGTCGCATGTTTTGCGTGCCATCAGAGCCAACTAAACTAAATGGCTGTTGATACACTCAGATGAAACTTTTATGCACACATCAAGCATAAAGTTTTCATTTTTATCCCGCTGGCTGCCAGTTGTCAAGTTGAACTGATTATGCTTCTTCGGGTGGTGCTTCCTCGGTGGAAGAAAGTTTCGTTATTATCCCATTGCCTGAGTAAAAACTTTAGTCAAGCAACTGGCAGTGTCTCTGGGTCGGAATTCATCAAACTTTTATTACTTTAGCATTTGACATAATTAAGTTTGCGCATGTTCTGTGTGACAGATAAGGGTAGACAGGCATCCTCCTCATTATTTATTAGACATGCAGAGCGGCTTACCTGCAATCAAATTTACAATTGCCGATGAAGCTTTAAAAAGCAACAAATCAAAAGGCCAAACAAGTGGGAAGGCTATAATATTTGGCTATGGAAATTATAGATGAGAGCGTGACAGATAAACTGACAAAAAAATTAACGATAAGAGGAGTTAAAATTGTGATTTTTTATTAAGGCTCAACTAAAACAAAGTGTAAGATAGTCATCGAAAGGCGCAAGCAATTCAAACTACATACTTGAAAACTGTTTTTAAATCAGTGTCAAGAACGTGTTAAGTTAATAAAAATACACATATTTAGCTTATGTTTTATTTACTTCTCTTTTCTATTAAGTGGAGCATCTACAATTGCTTCCACATAATAAAAACGAATGATAAAACCAAGGCTTCGAACTATGTATATCAAATCTTATGAGGTTTTGTTAACAATATTTATTTATTTCATTTAGTTGTTACAAAAAGTTATCTAAAATAAAATATGTATATTAAAACCACTCTCGCCCACGAGCCTATCTCTAAACGGCATGGCTTAGCCGGAATAGCTGAAACCAACTGTTACAAATTATATGAAAAAAAAACATTAAAAATGCATAAAAAATAAACTGGAAATGGGAGAAAGGGAAGCACGCAACTGAAATTGAAAATGAAAATTGATTGGCAACGACAACGAAAATTAGTGAAACACCTGTGAAAATAAATAAGCTTATCAAAGCGACCTAAAAAAGAGTTTGAAAAAGGGCGGCACACAAAGTGAGCGAAGAAAAATGGTAAACATTTAAAAGAAAAATAATAAAAAGTAAACATGAAAAGGTATAGCAAAAGGCAATGAGATAGGGTAGTGACAGTTGGAGGGAGGTGGTGTAGGGGAAAGCACCAAATCAAATGAGCTGCAGCTAATCAACTTTGACAGCTTTGAAAACCCGCTGGCGTCGACGTCCCACGTGAGCCTCAGCGCCCACGCAAATAGGGAGAGAAACCGGAAAGCCGAAGAGTTCGAAGTCAGACAACTCCATGGACAGCAAACACCGCACAGTGAGAAAAAATACCGAAGAATTCTCTTCTAAGATATTTAAATATTTACTTAAGAAGCAGGTAGCTAAAAATTGCCGATTCCAAAATGTTGTCAAATTATGTACTTCAGTATCGTTAGTTAAATCAGGATGAACATTCATATCACTCCGAAAATATTATTGTTATGGTTATATAAATATTATATTCTCAAGAGTCTTGGGAATATGCAGGCATACGATTTCGAAAAGGTTATATTTGAAAACAATTGTTCACTGTGCAACGTGTGGCATGCCAACCTACATAAGAAGTTTGGCGCCAATTATTGTGGGCAGCACGAAACAAATAAATATGAAAAATTATGATAAACACGCAGGCAAAAGCAAAATCTGTGAAGTAGTTTGTTGGTGGGGAAAAGTTAAGGTATGGAATATTTATGGCCTGCTCGTAAATTTGAATGCTAAAGAAGTCGACGTGGCTATGGATGTGACTGTTGGACGTGGCCGCTGTCAAAAACTTCAACGAACTTTGGCAACATCGCACCCGGGAGATTGAGATTCATATATACGGATGAATTTACATACATATGTATATACCATGGTCGACAACACACAGGATGCAAATGCGTGGCCTTTTGCTGAATGGGGCGTGAAATTTGCAAATTTATGTGCTCAACAGCAGGTTGTTCATTAGGCAGCAGAGATTTCGCTTAATTGACAGGCCCCATATGATTTGCCTTGCCGGCTATAATACAAGTATATAAACACTCGATCTGTGGGGACAACAACGTTCAATGACCGAAGCGGCTGGCAAATACATATGTATATAGTCATTCGGTCATTCAGTCAGTCAATTATTCAGTAAATGATCAAAGTCTGCGTATGATGATGACGACAGCCATGACGATGCCTCACTGCTACCGACTATATAACAATGGCGACTTTTATTATAACGACGAAACTGAAGGCCCGAGACTCGCGATTACCGACAGCTTCATTTGCCACAAGTTGCATAAGTCACGTTTTGGCATAAATTAGAAATGATTAGCATGCCCATAAAGTCAAGACATTGCGAGCATTATAAATTTACTTGTACTTGTCGCTTTTCGTACTCTGCTAATTGTGGGATTATTTCAGGCTTTGCTAGAATAGTTTCAAATAATAGTAAAAAATTTAACTTCTGAGCAGTCAAAACTTATTGTTATCTTAACGTGCTTAAAAATACTTCTAGCTTTTTAAACGTCTATACGCTTGTTTCCTCTATTTTTTCAAATCCAAGTAAATGTACATACTTGTATGGTATCTACATTAGCGCTAATTTGTAAACTAATAATTGTAGTTTTCATAACTCACTAACCAGTTCTTATATCTCTCCCCTTTGCAGAAAACAGCAAAATGATCCGAAACCCCAGAATAGCACAACAGAACTACGGCTACGAACAACGATGAAGAAATCGAGTCCACATGTGCGTTATAAATATTAATGGAGAGAAGGGGAAAAAATCTAACCAAATTTGATTGAGCAAACGACGATGCCAAACAGTTGATGTAGCAGCAGCCACAACACAGCCAAAAAAACGAAAAAAGCGAAAAAAGAGCCAAAAGAGCCAGCCAACTTAATTAGGCACTTCAATTATTACATGAACTGATGCCAATGTGAAACGAATGTGCTTAGCTCCGCAAGTTAGAGCTTCCAATTTTCTTTCTTTGGTTTTGGGAGCACAGACGAAACGAAATGAATTGAATTGAATTAATTGTGCCACACACAAACATACACAACCAACCACTTTACATTTCAATTAACTAGCAACGACGCCCACAACCGAACAAACAATTCGACCCCAGTACCATTCCAAGTCGTAGTATAAATGTAATGGATATATGTATAGCAGAAATTGCAGAAGACAAGACCTATATACACAATAGCAAACAAAAGAATTAGAATAGAAAAAAATTCAAAATTCAAGTTACACAACTTCTAAGTGCTCGACGCTGTTTATTCAAATTACGAGCGCAAAAATACAAAAAAGAAAATAAGGAGGTAGGGAGACAAAGTGGCAAAGTAAACATAAGAGCCATCAGAAGGAAAAATCAACGGTGCAATACAAACAGACAAGAACGGAACAGTAAAGGCTAAAAATAAAACTAAAGCTACAACAGCGCCCATACTTGTATATATAAAACATATATGCATGAGAAGTCTACAGGCGACAGATAATCGCAGAACATAGCAAGTTGGAGGAAAAGAAGTAGAGCAGGGAAGAGAGTGCTCCTAGGACATCGTTTGTCACAGCAAAATTCTTGTCTACAAAATGTCTTTGGCTGACATGGGCACAGCCTCACGTTCCGCTACCGGATCTGGCGGCGTCGGTGGTGGTGGCCATCACCACTACGATATGAGTAGTGGTGGTGGAGGAGGAGGCGGGGGCGGAGGCGGAGGCCTACCCGGCGGACGAATGACACATTCCCTGAGTACACCGTCAGGCGTCGATGGTACACCGTCAACGCCCCGTCATCGTGGCGGCAAAAAGCTGGCAGTTCGCATACAAATGTTGGACGATTCGGTGACGATGTTTCAAGTACAGGTAAGTTAAAAGAAAAAATATAATGTCCACTAATGTACACTACTTATAAAGCGGAGTGAGACTGTGCCTCATTTATTCTTACTCTTAGTCTTAAGAGGCATGAATCAGTCAAGAGATAATAAATATAACTGAAAATAGTTAAGAAATGAAGACAGCAAGATTTTTACAGAGTCTAAATCCTGTTTGTGTAAGCACGATGGGTTTCTTTAGTTCTGAATTTTTTATGTAAATAGATTTGAGAGTAGTCACCAAAAAATAAATGTCTAAATAAATGTTGACATCAACAAGTCATCCATTATACACAAATTTCTATCCCCCGCTCTAATGTTAGCCTTCTATCCCTCTCTCTCTCTTTCTCCCTTACTCTGTATACTTGAACTCTTGACAAGTATTTGCCTAATTCAGAGTAAGGGACATTCAAAATATGTGTGCCTAACTTTTTCCTTACAACTCATTTTTCCAATAGGAACTACCAAAAAAAGTTTTGAGGAAAGGGCACATTTATATTTATTCAGTCAGTATTGATACAGATCCTATGGTTTATAGGAAAAAGAGCGTTGACATCAGACCTCCTCACATCGCATATAAAAAAGTCTAATTAGAAATAAGCATGCATGGAGAATGGAAAAAAGTGTTGACATAAGACCAGCCCTTACTTTCCCGCAATCTCCATCTCGCGTACTCCGTACACTTAATCTCTTGGAATGTATTTGCCCTTTTTTTTGGCAACGATAGCCTCGCGAAAAATTGCAAACAGCATAAAAACTGCATAAATATTCAGAAACATTTTCACGTTTGCTGCCTTCTTCGGTCGCTGGCAATTCGCCTGACCGTAAACAGTGCGCGTAAAGTGAAAAATATGAAAAGCTACATTTAATTACATTAAAACGCGGAGTGCAGTGCAGTGCTTAAAAAAAGGGGAAAACCTAAATAATAATAAATAATAACAAAAAAATGTATAAAGATTTATACGACAATCCGTGGCAGTGCCGGCCATGAGAGAATCGGCAGCTATGCGGCCTTTCAAAGCAATGCAGTACAGTGGGCTTCAAAGGATAATGGCTAGATCAAGAAATGTAGTAAATAAGTAGATGTTTCAAAAGTGAGTGAATAAAATAGTGAACGAAATGCGCAATTCGCATCAAACAAAGTTTTAAACGAATTGCATTCAAGTTTAATTGCAATTCTGTTGATAGTAGAAATATAACAAATGATATACAAAGATTACAAACATGTAGTAGTTGTTGAGTTCGCGAAAAATATTCTGAAATATACGAAAAATGTTTAAGAGTTATAAGGAAAGTAATGTTTATATAAACATTATTTCTTCATGTAACTTGTAAATACGTATTTGGAGATTTTGGCCCACTGTCTGTTTGCAGACGAAGTTCTGCTTGCATTTGGCAAGTGGCCAAAAATGTGTTCTCTGGGCATAACTAACAGAAGGAAAAAAGAACAACAGCTTCTGCAACTGCCACACCTCTTATTGTTGTTCTTGTTTGGCAACAGACGGGCCGACAAATCAACAAATTTGTAGTCCAGACTGAGTTGAGTTCCTTTTAAGACAAGCCAGCGCCCAAAAAGAGTCTAGGCACAAATGCCGTTTTTATTTGTTGTTCCTTTTGGGCTGGTCGAGCATGTTGGCCGATTCAGATGTTTGTCGATGATGCGCTCCAAAAATAAAACATTTCCCTCATCGAGAAAAGTGCAGCAAGTGCTTGCTAGTTTTGCTTGCTCGGCATAGTTTGGTGGAAGTTGTTGAAGTACTGAGGTTCATTTGAGGTCTACGAACTGCCAGTCGGCAAATGTAAGCACATATGAGTACATATATGTACAGTGAACGAAAAATTAACAAATCCCATCAACAGTTAACAAATACGACATAATGGAAAATAAGGCAACTCCCAGCTACCTTTAAGACAAAGAAAATTACATACAACAGAGAGGAGTATCAAGATAATTCATTCGAGAGCGAACAGAAAAGAATAATTGTACAAAAAATATATATTTTATAAAACTTAATTACGATTCTCTAGTTTCAATTGTTGCCGAATCCGATAAACTGAAGCATAAAGAGGCATAAAGCAGATGAATTTTTTTCAGATATGGGAATTAGGAAATTGGGTATTCAAATAATTTGACCGTCTATTTTCGCAGTGTAGTTGCGAGTACATGTGTGTTAGACTTCTGTTTATTGCAACTTTGTGCTGTTTTTTCTGGTTTTACCATTGACCACAAATCGCATTAATATAGCAGAGAGACTAAATGCCCTGACATCCTGACTTGCAGCCTTGTTTTCTGCCACTTTGCGTTGTTAATGGCATTTTGTGTAGCTAGCTGTTGTTTTGCTTTTGCTGGCACTTCCTCCCTTCCAGCCTGTTAGCCTGCCTGCCTATTTCCTGTACAAACAGTCAGCCATTAGCAGTTCATGCAGATGCTTGAAGCGCGCTAGAAAAAGGCTTAGACGGTTTTTAGTTGAAGTGCCGACCAGCCACCAGAGTCGACGTCTCATATTCGCCTACTCTACGCGTTCCCCCGCCGTCCTTCCCCTGCATCTCCTAATTCTCCTCTCCTTGCTTGCCAAATACTTGCAAACACATTTCAAAGGCTTCAACAGGCAACAGCTTAGCACACAAAATGGAATTGTTGTTGGCTGCTACGTGTTCACAACAAAATGGCTGCCATTGTTGCCATTGTTCCTGTTGTTGTTGTTGTTGTTGGTTGGGCGGCTTTTTGAACTATCCACTTGAGCAATGGTTTGTTGTACTATGTGCATATTGTGTATGGCTGTGTTTCTGCAACTTTAAAGTGGCTCGCAAACTATTGCACATGGATTCCGAAATAGTTGCAAGCTGCTTTAAACTAGCATATTAAATATTGACCACAACTACTCGCAGGACAGTGTTGTCGACTATAACGTGGACAAGATCAACTTAATTTTGTGCGTGAGTATTGTATTTACATATGTATATCAGATAATTGCACTTAACTGTACTCCACAAATCAGGGCTCCATTCCTGACTAGGAAGTGTGTAAAATAATAAAAAAAAAAACCTGATTTACATTTTATGAAATCCATATCCTTTGTTTTTTAAGTGTGTCTTTAAAAACTAAACTATTTTTAATGCAAAACTGTAGAACTAAAAATAAACAGTACGTGTATTCTTTCTTTATTTATTCCAATGGAGTATGTATTAGTATTTGTAAACCAACTTAATAACCTGCGAGCAAGATATCATGCTTCGTTTCCCTAGTTGATAAAAGATTATAATTCGTGGAATTAAATAAATAACGATTTTAAGTATTTAATGACGTATTTTAATGACGAGATTATAGAGAACACACATTATAGCAGTCCCACTTCATAGCGTCCGGTTTTATCGTTACATTCTTATATTACAAGTATTCTGTTGAATTAAGTTGGACTGTGCTTGAAATAGGATTTTTGATATTATTTCAAGTTTTAATTGAATTAAAGAGTCATGACTAAACGCCATATTTTCCATTTTAAAATATAAAATTTTACGCAATAGGTAAGAAATTTTATTGCCCACCTAAAACATTATCGTAAAAGTTTAGAATTCCTTTTGTCAGTAATGTACAAAATTCAAAATTGTTCTCAAAAATGGGTGTAAAAGGGCAGAAGCCCGAAGAACTTGACTTGACAACAGCACTGTTTCGCCTTCGCCACTCTCTCTGTCTTTCTCTCTCTCTCTCTTTCTCTTGACTACACTTTGGCACCGTTTCGTGACAGCACCATAGTCCGAGAAACGACATTGTTAAAAATTCAAGCACGTAACATTTTTTACTAGGTATGTAAAACCAAACAGACAAACACACGCACAAATCTTAGCCATATAAGGTAGAGTCCGGCAATAACAACGGCAAGTGCGACATAACATGTCGTATACGTAATATATATATTGCCATATCTTGCTGTACAATATGTTGGTTCAATTTTTACAAACAAATAGCCTGAGCCGGCACCTAACCACCACCCTCTTGCAATGTTCATAACCAACCGCAATTGCTTCTATTGGTATGTAGGCATGTGTGTGACTATGTATGTGAGTGTGTGTGCAATAATGTCAGTGGTTGAGGCAGCTTTTTGTGGTCGCTCGTAACTAAGCGAGTTTTGGCCAAATGCAACAACGCGCAGCTCTCTAAAAGTTACTGCAATATTAATGAAGGGTTCTAATGGCATGTAGGCTATATGAGTCAGAAATGTAGAGGCAAGGGATGAGTATACGAGTATGTCGTCTTTATAAAAGGGCAGAGGGCAAACAATGACCATGAACGATGGCGCTATGACTATACGTGTATAAGTATTTGGTAACCATATATTACTTGCTAAGTGGCTTCTGCGGCTGAGAGTTTCAAGCAAAATCCATGTGAACAGAAGCTTCTCGGTGTTTAGTTCTTCCATTTAAAGTTACAGCACTATAAAGAACTTTTCGCGGAACAGAACATAAGGAAAGGAACATAAGAAAGGAAGCTTCATTCCTCCATAAAACTATGTTCGAAGAATTTTTTGGCCTACTTGAATAAATAGTCATAGTTAGAATGCATACCGTTGTTTACGTATTATAACGAAATGTGGTTTCAACAGACATACATACATATAGAATAGTGAACACTCAAATGCATTAACTCTGCACTTTTGAGCGCTCATGTTCCATGCACCCCCTTTCCATTCCATTGGAATGTGGTAGAACACTGCCAAAATTCATAAATTTCCCTTACACACGGAAAAAAGGCAAAATATGTATTTCAACACATCTTATGCTCATGCTACATATCCATATCTTGCATATCCATCATATGCGACAGAACATTAAACTATGCGCAACCACAACGCAAAAGTTGTGCCATACTTGTACATGTCTCCAAATGTTGCGCATGGAATTGCATAAATTTCTAAATAAGATTACAAAAAGATATAAAGCGGATCTTTACGTTACAGTTTAAGCTTTAATAACTGTACAGGTATTTCTGATCAG